ACTCCCAGAATTCCCCAGCAACTTTTTAGAGCTACGTGGACTTCAACTCCCAGAATTCCCCAGCCTGCCATTTTAAAGCTGTGTAGACTTTCCACTCCCAGAATTCCCCAGCAACTTTTTAGACGTACGTGGACTTCAACTCCCAGAATTCCCCAGCCAGCCACTTTTTATCAGCTGTGAGAACAACTCCCAGAATCCACCAGAGAGCTTAAGATGGCCGGCAGGGGAATTCTGGGAGTTGAAGTCCACCCAGCTTAAGGCCACGGTTGAGAAACACGGCTCTAAATGCAAAGGGGGGATGGGCCCACAAACCTTTTTTCGGGCTTCTTCCAAACTTGTATCGGGACAAATCATCACATCACGGCTGCACTGCACTGGCTCCTTTCCAGACAGGCCCGCTACCGTCACAGAAATCTGGAAAATAAAACCATAATTTTTTGGCAGGGGGGAGGAAAGAGCAGAATTAAGAAGGTTTCTCAGCCTTGCCTGCTTTACGACAGGTAGGCCACTAAATGTAGTGTTGTAAATCAAGGACAACCGACCGCTGTGTTCATTTAATGACCAAAGTTCAAAGGTTACAACAGCGCTGAAAAAAATAGGGACCGGTTTCCCCACACTTATGACCGTTGCATCATTCCTGCTTGGCAACGGACTTGTATTTACGACGGCCGCACCGTCCCGGGGTCCCCTTTTTGCGACCGCCTGGCCAGTTCAACGGGGAAGGCGGATTCACTTAAAAGAACCGCCTTGCTAACTTATCGATTAAAGGTCAGCAATTCGCTTAAAGGTCGTAAAACAAGGCAAAATTCACTTAACGCATTTTTTCCCCCTCCCACCACCGTAACATAAATGCCGGGCTCTCCTTGTGGTCAGAAGTCGAGGACGACCTGTGATTAAAAAATAAATAAAAATGAATTTAAAAGGCGTGGAGGGTCCCAGCTCCGGACCCAGGGACTTACTCCTGCCCTGCGCATCAGATCCGTGGGGATGACCGTCTCCATTTCTTCGGCGCCTTTGGCCAAGATCACCAGCGCTCGTTTGGAGCCCATCGGGAAGCAGCGGCGGTTCTGCGGGGAGGGGGTGCAAAGCAGGTGAGAAAATGGGCCGGGGGGGGTGTCTCCCCCCACCCGGCCCGAAGGATCCACCCACCTGCCGCTGCTCTGGCACCCCCACACCGCGCGCAAACCTCTCCCACCGGCCAACTGGGGAAGAGCGCGCAAGGCCGGCCAGGCTTCATTCCCGGGGGCGCCTGGATCGGTTGGGGAGACCCCAGCCCGGAAAAGGGGAGACGGACTGGGGTGGGACGGAGTGTGGGCACTCCCATCGCTGGAGGTTTTAAAAAAAATGATATATCTGCCTCTACAGGGAAGGGTTTTTTTTGGACTAGATGCCCTCTGAGGTCCCTCCCGCCTCTGTTATTCTGTATGGGAGTGTCTCCTGCTGGAAGGGACCTAGGAGGTCTTCTAGTCCAACCCTCTGTTATTCTGTACCGGGGGAGTGTCTCCTGCTGGAGCAGGGGGTTGGGCTAGAGGACCTCCAGGGTCCCTTCCGCCTCTGTTATTCCTCCTATTTGGAGAGACCCCAGCCAGTAAAAGGGGGGGGGGAAGCCGGAGGGAGGGACCCCTGCCCCGAAATGGGGAGGAGGAGCGGGGAGAGGCGGAGGGAGGGGCCGTTGGGGGACCCCTGCCCCCAAAAAGGAGACAAGCCAGGGAGGGAAGGAAGGAGGGCAGGGACCCATGGGGGGGTGGAGACCCCTGCCCCCCAAAGGGGAGGCGACGGGCCGAGGAGAGAAGGGAGGAGGGGGGGGAGACCGTTTGGAGAGACCCCCACCCCGGAAAGGCCCGAGGGGAGGGGCGGGGGGCTTCCTTACGCTCAATCTCGGTCACAGCTTTGCTCGCTCTCGCGCTGCGCTCCGAAGGGCTGGTGCTGCGTCACGGGGGAGGGGGAGGGCAGAGGAGGGGGGGGAGGGCAGAGGAGGGGGCGGGGCCTGGGAAGAGGGGGGGGCAGGAGAGGGAGGGGCGGGGGTTTGCCCACCCCCAACCCCCCCGCCTTGCAAAGCTGGGCGCTTTTGGCAACCTTGCAAAATGCAACTTGCAAACTTGCAAGGAGGGAGCCCTCCCCCCCCTCCACTGAATGCTGGGGTGGGGGAGGGGGGGTCCCAAAGCTATAGGGGCTTCTCAGCACCATGCAGTCGTGCCCGGGAATGCCATTCCCCCCCCCCCCTCGCCCCTTCCAAAGGTGCCAGTTGGGGAAGGAGACGTGTGAATTTCCTTTGGGGGCATGGACTGATTGCCTAAGAAACTCCAAAGTGGGTGGGGGAAGGACTACATTTCCCAGAATTCATTAGGAGGAGGTCCTCCAAGAATCCACTTCCGGGTTTCACAACGGCAGCTACTTCCGGCTCGGCGGGACTTCAACTCCCAGGATTCTCATCATGGCTGTGCAGGCGGAGGAATGTTGGGAATTGGAGTCCACTGATTGGTAGGGTTTGGGGAAAGCCGGCATTTCCGTCGTTAAGTGAGACACCCATGAAGGGTGTTCCACCCCGTTTGACCGCCTTTCTGGCCACCGTGGTTAAGCGGAGCCTTGCAATCAATCCATTAGTCAATTAGTTGTTAAGCGGATCCGGCTTTGCAATCAGAACGCTGCAACCGTCGTAAACGCGAGTCGGTTAACAAAGCGTCTGAATTTCGATCGCGGGGCCGTGGACAATGTCCAGCCACAGTCATAAGGGTGAAAAAAGTCCTTAGGTCCCTTCCCACCCCCCAGTGATCTCGTCACTGGTCACTAAATGAACCATCGTAAGTCAAGGACCGCGGTGTAGAGCTATTCATCCTTATTTGGATCACTTGACCATGGGGAGGGTGGAACGGTTGTAAGTTTGAAAAAGTTGCTTTAGTTTGAAACTTCAAACGGTCGCTAAGCGAACCGTCGTAATTCCAGGACGGCCTCCATCTTTCTCCCTGTAGGGGAGTTCAAGGGGTTCAAATACAGACATGGCAGTGACCTCTTTTAACAGCCCCCCACCTCACCCCCCCACCTCACCCGTAACCTTTCAGCTACCCTATTTGGGGACCTGAATTTAACACCCTCTTAAAATAGCCGGGGTCAAATTTTTAAAAAGTCCACAGGGTGGCAAGCAGAACAGAGCTGGAAGCGACCTTGGAGGTTGTCTAGTCCAACCCCCTGGTCCAGCAAGAGATCCTAGACCATTTTGACCAATCGGTCAGAGCTGGAAGGGACCTCGGAGGTTATCTGGTCTAACACCCTGCTGATTGATTGATTGATTGATTGATTGATTGATATGATCTAGGCGGGTTTCCTGCTTGAGCAGGGGTTGGACTAGAAGACCTCCGAGGTCCCTTCCAGCTCTTATTCTGATTGATGGATGTATTGAAATGGTCTGGGGTCTCCTGCTTGCAGACAAAGCTGGTCATTTTGCATCCTCCTTTTAGCGGAAAGAATGCAAACGACCAGCTTTGCCTGCAAGGAGCATCGATCCTGCCCTTCGGTCAGAACTGGAGAAGCTTCTGGGATGAGAAGCGAAACGTCTTCAGAAGAAGAAGAAAAAAGGGAAGAAGAAAGTTTTTGTCTCTTGGCGGGGTGGGACACAAAAAAAGCACTTTTGGGACCCTCCAAAGACGTTGGGACCAGCCTCTGGATCGGATCCTGGCGCCCCCCCTCCACCCACATCCCAATTTGGGGGGGGTCCCGGGGTGGGGCTTCCCTGCCGCAGCTTCAATCAAAGGGGCTTTTTTTTGGCCCTTCGGGAACCCCAAGTTGGTGGCGATGACGCACTCCGGCTTTGCTTCGGGGGGCGGGAGCAGTTTTGGGAGCGGGGGAGGCTGCGAAGACGTCACCAGCCGCGGCGGTGACGGGTCCGCCCACGCGGGGGGGGGGGCATCCCTCCCTCCCGGCTGCTGCAGAGCCCGGCAGCGGAGGTCGGGGCTGGAAAGAGCCTCGGAGGTCTTCTAGTCCAGCCCGCTGCTCGAGCTGGAGACCCCGGACCACTTCAATCCATCAACCAATGACTGAACGGTTGAATGAAGAAGTGCGGATGGATGGATGGATGGATTGAAATGGTCTCTAGGACCTAGGTTCTCCTGCTTGAGCAGCGGGTTGGACTAGAAGACCTCTAAGGTCCCTTCCAGCTCTATTCTGATGGATGGATGGATGGATAGATAGATAGATAGATGGATGGATGGATGGATGGATGGATGGATAGATAGATAGATAGATAGATAGATAGATAGATAGATAGATAGAT